AAATGACAAGTCAATGTAAGTTCAGGGATTATGATGAATGTACCACCTGGATGTGGGATGTTGATAGTGGGGAGGCATGCATGTGCAGGGACAGGTGGTATATAAGAAATCTCTGTACCTTCTAATCAATGTTGCTATGAACTTAAAACTTCTCTAAAAAATAAAATCTATTTAAAAACAAAACAAGCCAGGCATGAAAAGCTGTATCCAAACAGGAAAAAAATAGTAACAAAAGAAGCCAACCAGAGTGCCTTGGTCAGAAAGTAGATTTGGAAAATACGAAGAGAGTCCGTTTGGTGGCAGAAAGAGACACTGAAAACTTCCAAAGGGAAGGTATGAGTCCACGTTACTCTTAAGCAGCCAGGAAGGCAGGAACAGAGCAGTCGGTGGTGGGTAGCAGCAGGAAAGGAAGAGCAGAAAAGAATGGAGCAGAGCTGAGTCAGCAGGATGGCAAGAAACCTGGGGTCACTGGCTGCTGAGAGGCGAGGTGGGAACCTCGTTCCTGGTCAGTGTCCCGCAGGCTCTGCAGGAGGGCAGTTCCTGTACATGAGTTTCCTATCATCCTGTGTCTACTTAAAAAACACAAAACCCTAGTGCAGGAACCCGAGTCTGCCTCTCTTGGTAATAGAAAAGAGCTGAATACACACAATTTGAAAACTCAACCTCACCACATCTGGTGGATCTTAACCTTCCTGCACAAAAGGGAGCAGCAAAGCGGAGAGGAGCCTGAGGTCATAGGCAGGAGCCATGGCTTCTAATCCAGCCCTGCTACTAATCTGCATGGTAATCTTAAGAGCTCGTTATCTCTAAATCTATTACTTCAACCAGGAAGTAGAGTTGGACCAGATGCGTTCACTTGGTAACCATTAATTGAGTGCCTGCTATGTGGCAAGTTGAGTGCTGGCTGACGGGCATAACAGTGAACTAAGCACAGTTTTTGCTCTTCAGGCTTATGTTCTAGTTGGTAAGGAGGTAAATAGATGATTACAAAATTGTATAATGTTACTGCTACATTTAGAGAATTCATTTGGGGTTAATGAGGAGGGACACCGAACCTGGTTGGTGACGGCGGCCCTCACAGAAACCTTGCTGGGGACAATGAGTCCCTCTCCGGATGAAGGAAGGGCATGAAATGGCCAGGCAGGGAAAGAAAAGAATGGTCCATGTGATGGTAATTTTATGTGTCTACTTGATTAGGTTGTATTCCCAGTTATTTGATCAAACACTAATCTAGGTGTTACTATGAAGCATTTTGGAGATGTGGTTAACATCTATAATCAGTTAACATTAAATAGCAACCTGTACTTCTCCATATAGTTCTCAGCATGCTGTACTGTCTATAACAGTGATGGCGAACCTATGACATGTGTGTCAGAGGTGACACGCGAACTCATTTTTTTGGTTGATTTTTCTTTGTTAAATGGCATTTAAATATATAAAATAAATATCAAAAATATAAGTCTTTGTTTTATTATGGTTGCAAATATCAAAAAATTTCTATATGTGACACGGCACCGGAGTTAAGTTAGGGTTTTTCAAAATGCTGACACGCCGAGCTCAAAAGGTTCGCCATCACTGGTCTGTAAGTTCCATTCCATCATGATCTCTCCATGAGGTTAAGAACCTTGAGATCTTTGCTGATTTCTGTAAGTTGTTCTAGCAAGTTAGAGAGCCAGAGGGCCCCCAAATTCGTAGCCAGTTGGTCATAAATGGGGGTGGCAGTCTTATGGAGGATGGACCCCCTAACTTGTGGGATATGTGCTAACTCTGGGTGGTTAGTGCCAGAATTAAATTGTAGTACACTAGTTGGTGTTGGAATGCCTATCCTGAATCTTCCAGTGGCTCCTGCTCCATGGTGCCAAAAACCTGAGGCCCCAGCAAAGACTGGATCTGAAATACAGTTGGCAAAGCCTCCTCTACGGAGGCCCATAAGGTAGCAGCAATGCTTCATGTCTTTTCTTATTAAAGGAGCATTATTTTAAAAGTGATGGTGATACTGGGCATGGTGCTTTTCGGCCTGTGTTAGGATGTTCTGAATACATAGTAGTAGGTATTGTAGAGCGAGGTTGTGAGAGTGATGACAAGTTTCATGTAAAGATTTTGCCTTTTCTAAACCCTGATTACTATCAAAGAATACATTCCTAAGGAATATTCCATGGGAAAAAATTAAAGAAAATATCTGTGAGAAATACTCAAGGCAACAGAGCCTTACAATTCAAAACCGAGACGTTGACATAGGGTCATATTTTAACATGTTCGTGTGAATTTTAAAAAATCTGTTTTGGCTGGTTGATTTGATAACAAAGCCTGGCTTTGCCAATTCATTTTTAAGTTATACATACAATGATTGAGTCAAATCTGTAGTTCCAAGGTTTTAAAAGTATATACTTAAAGCTCATGATAAAATAAATAATTTAATAAATAATATTGTATTAGCAAAAGATTTATGGAAATGTTAATATCTTTATTTTCTCAACCCTGAGTTAAAAAATAAGATGCCTTGAAATGAAAGATTTACAGTATAATTATTAATTATTTGATGTCTTTAAAAAGCCTTTTGGTATACTTCTCAGATATTGAGAAAGTGAATAACTCAAACAAAGGAGGACATAAATGAGGTGCCTGATGATAAGTCATAAAAAATCTTTAGTGATAGAAGACTATGTGATTTTTAGCATTTATCTTGAAAGGAGATTAAAACTTTGAGTGACATTGCTATTACAAAATGTTTTTCACATTTACCTATTTATTTGGACAGATTTTCTCAGTGTTTATGTCTATAAAAACAAACTATGAAAAAAAACTAATGATGAATCTTGTCTTATCTAGCAATAACTAATATTCCTCTGCTAACATTTGAACTACTGATAAAAATATAGCACCATTCATCTCACCAAAAGATGCATCAATAAAATATGTCATAGAAGGTTATATTGGACTAACCTTTTTATGGATAAAATTATAAACTTTGGACAAAATGTAAGAATAGTTCCAGTCATGTACCACATAACATTGTTTTGGTCAATGATGGACCACATATATGACAGTGGTCCCATCTACAGGCAGTCCTCGGGTTATGTTGGACTCGATGTATGTCATTTCGTAGTTACGTCGCCATCTCCCATTTACAGTATTTATTTAAAAAAAAGTTCCATCATTTCGACATATGCACATATGTGCTTTATGTTTTTTATTATTTACTTACCACAAGTAAAGGTCAGGAATTATCTTTCTTTCAAATTTTTTTTTACTTTTTCACTTCATTACTGCTGTGTATGTACTCCATGTGAGTGATGTAGGTGCTTATGTAGGTGGGTTCCAACTTATGGCAAAAATTGCAATATGTTACGCTATAGGAACGGATCTCTGAGGACCTACTGTATATATATAAAAGCTTAAGCGCCCGTCTGACCATCTGACCGTCCGACTAGTAGCTATGACACACACTGACCACTGGGGGGCAGACGCTCAACACAGGAGCTGCCGAGCTTCGGTGACTTGGCAGCTGCAGTTCTCAGGTGACGCACCGGGAACCAGAGAAGAGAGAGCCTGATTCTGGGGTGCGTCACCCGAGAACCACCCTCTCGCAATCCGGGACCCTTCAGTGGATGTCAGAGAGCCGGTTTCGGCCTGATCTCTGCAGGCCAGGCTGAGGGACCCTACCTGTACACAAGTCCATGCACCAGGCTTCTAGTAAGATTATAATGGAGCTGAAAATGCTATCATCTAGTGATGTCATAGCTGTTATAACATTGTAGTGCAATGTGTTATAGTTGCTTACAGTATTCAATACAGTAACATGCTGTACAGGTGTATAGCCTTGTTGTAATAGGATGTCATTTAACCTAGGTGTGTAGTAGGCTATACCATCTGGGTTTGTGTAAGTGTACTCTATGATGTTTGCACAGCAATAAAATTGCCTAATGAGCCTTAGCTGGTTTGGCTCAGTGGATAGAGCGTCGGCCTGTGGACTGAAGGGTCCCAGGTTCGATTCTGGCCAAGGGCACATGCCCAGGTTGCAGGCTTGATCCCCAGTGGGGGACGTGCAGGAGGCAGCTGATCAATGATTCTCTCTCATCATTGGTGTTTCTATCTCTTTCTCCCCCTCTCTCTTTCTTTCTGAAATCAATAAAAATATATTAAAAAAATAAAAATAAATAAAATTGCTTAATTGATGCATTTGTCAGAGCATATCCCCATCGGTAAGTGATGCATACTTATACTTGAAGGCACTAGAAAGTAATCAAAAGCCAGCTGGCAATAATTGAAGAGATGGCCACTTTCAAATAATTGAAATATAATGAGTATAATTTATGCTCATACATCTTTCCATCTGAGAGTATTACTCAGTTTACACTGTAAAAGGCAGCTGGAACTCAATCAAAAAGCCACCGTCTTAATGGCTTAACGAATTAAAGGATGAACTTGGGGCTTCTGCAGCAGCTAGAAATTGAGGCAAAAAAATCCCGAAAAAGAGGGAGGAACAAAGGGAGAGCGTTCCAAAATTTATACATACACTCTGCCCAAATCCTTGGTTGACCAATTAATGGGATGATATAAATTAATAAAGAGCAAAAGTTGAGGCACTAGAAAACAGAAAATCAATGGTACAAGAGGTAGGGTTTTTTTTTAATTTTTTAAAAATATATTTTATTGATTCTTCACAGAGAGGAAGGGAGAGGGACAGAGAGCTAGAAACATCGATGAGAGAGAAACATCGATCAGCTGCCTCCCGCACACCCCCTACTGGGGATGTGCCCACAACCAAGGTACATGCCCTTGACCGGAATCAAACCTGGGACCCTTGAGTCTGCAGGCTGACGCTCTATCCACTGAGCCAAACTGGTTAGGGCGGTAGGTTTTTTTTTAAGATTAAAAAATGTGATAAACTTTTAGCTAGATTAGTCAGAAAAAAAAAAAGGAAATGCCAACTACCAATATCTGAACAAAAGATAAGGTCCTTTCTTTCGTGGACTTCTAAGGGCTAAATGTTAACAGTCATGAGAGGAAAGGCACAGGTGGACTTTGGCAAACGCTGTGGGAGAAATCTACAGTGGAAAAAGGCCGACATGGAATGGAGAGGGTATTCCAAGGCAGTAACTGAACTCTGCCCCAAGAGCTCCACGGAGGGCAACCTCAGCCTTCCCCACCCGTCTTCCCCAACGCTCAAAGCAGGGGAGGTTTCTTGTCGCGTGCCGCGCCCCGCCCACCAATGCCCGCGC